AAGAAATAGCCGGAAAAATTATCCAGGAAAGTAGAAGTCATTCTTTATGAGCTTTATGATAACCTTTGTGGGCACTTAAATCATGATCATCTGACACGGAAACAATACATATATATTGTCATGCATCAATTCAACATCAATCTTGCCCAGAAACATTCTTCTGACTCTACAAGCGTTCACTGCTGGGTTAGAGAATTGCAGGATGACTAAAACTGCATTTTATGCTACAAACCACAAGGCGAAGCAAAATATGGCCTACCAACCAACGACTTCTTGCTAGGTATACAGACAGAGTTTCAAAAAGATACCAAGTGCAAATATGCTTCAAAGCTGGTTTGTATTGATTCCACCCACAGTACCACAGGGTATGATTTTTTGTTAGTGACAGTTGTGGTGAAAGATGATTTTTGGAAAGGGAGTGCGGGTTGCATGGCTTATAGCAAATAAGGAGGTTGATTGTTCACTGGATCCATTTTTTGCTTTCCTAAAAAAGCAGTCAGAAATAGACATTATGAGTGATGATGCCGAATCTTTTTATAACTCTTGCTGCAGAAATTTCTAGTGCCAAATAGGCAGCTTATTTGTTCTTGGCATGTGGATAAAATCCTTCGTACAATTATAATGCAGAAAATAACAAATCCTGAAGATCAAATAACAGTCTACAAATACGTAAAGGTTTTGAAGGAAAGGAGTTTAAAACTATGTTACAAGAAATGTGCAGTTTTCTTGAATACAGTTACCCTTTATTTTATTTCAAAAAGGAGTTTTTGCAAAGAATGCACAAATGGGCTTAATGCTATCAGACATCAACAGAAGCCAATACCATTATGTCATTGGAAATTTTCACAGAGTCTTGAAAACAATTTATTTCCATAGGAAAAGAAACAAGAGGGTTGATCACCTACTTTGTGTACTCTCGACAATTGCCAGAGACAAAGCTCATGAGGCATGGGAAAAGCTTGAGAAAGGAAACCCTTCCAGCAAAATTAGGGATATGGACAAACGCCATAAGACTTCTTTAGAACTTGCCTTGGACGTTTCTAATGCCAATGCCACACAATGGTTTTTTCCATCTACTGCAAAAGAAAACAAATTGAAGAAAACAAATTGAAGAAAACAAACGGTTATACAAAATGACTATCATTGTGATTGCAAAATGGAATGCAGCAGTTGCAAAGTATGTGTTCATCAATGCTCTTGTTCCTGTGCAGATTATGCAATCCATTCAGTGCCTTGCAAACACATACATGCCATACATTCAATTTTTTTTCGAAAATGATAAGCAGGGTGTTCAAATGATAAGCACTGGTCTTCCACTAGCAACTGCCACGAGGCATGCTCAAGATCGCCTCAAATGGGCTGCCATTGTGAGAGGTGCCAAGGGCCACTAGGCCTACGCCTTTGATGATGATGATGATGTGTTCAAAACTATAGAGCAGAAGAAAATGAAGATTTGACTGGAAAACGACAATATTTTCAACATCAGTTAAACAAAACAGTTAGAATAACAGATTTGGCTTTTATCAAAAAGTCTATTCAAAGAAAAATGGTTATTTTGTCCAACAAAATGGAAATTTGTTCTGTTCCAGACGCCCTAGAAGCTGCACATGAGCATCTATTGCTGTCCTGGATAGAATTTCAAGTCTGAACTCTAACCAACAAAGTTTGCAACAGGCAGAGGTGTTCCCTCATAATAAACATTTTGAAAAGCAGAGAAAATTTTATAGCACAAAACAGAAGGCAACAAAAAAGAAAAGGAATATAAACGAAGCCAAGAATTGAGAATACTGATAATGTGAAGGAAAATTTAAAGCAACAAGAGGTACGTTTGTGTGGGATTTTTTTCTGTGAAATAGAATGAATGAAGAAATGGTAGACTGGGTGGAGCGTTCTAGTTGTGAAGTATGGATACACTGCGCCTTTGACAAACAAAATGTGAACTTAGAATAATATTGCTGCCCACTCTGCAAATAGGGAATCCAAATAGAAATTTGTTTTTCAGGTATGCTATGGATTTGGTCGCTTTTTTCTAAGTAATTTTTTTCTTGTAAAGTTAAACTTTTACCAGCAATAATGGTGTGCAACAACAACATAAAGGTGCACACTTCACAATCATGATAGAGAAGTCAGAGGCCTCTCTAGCTTCTGATGATTTACACTCCCCTGATCTACATATGTTATACAAAAGTATTACACCAACCTAATCCAAAATGGTTGCAACGTTGAACAGCTTTTCACAAGGCAAAATTTCAAGATATTGTTAAAGGCTACCATTTTTAAATTGGAGTGGTGGTTTTGGCGGGAAAATTACCAAAAATGTTCTGATGCCATTTCAGAAACCTTTAAATAGCAAAATATGGCTTAATTTTTTCAAAAAATTGAAAAAGTAAACAATGGGAAAAGTTAGAGAATTGACGTATGAAGAAAGAGTTGGTGTTTGTTTTGTATGTCAAAGTAGGCTATCTTTTCGTGAAGTAGGCAAAAGAATTGGCTGCAGCCACACTACGGTGTTCAGAATTTATAAAAAAAAATTATTTCTACAGGCTCAGTGAAGAGGTGTGCAAGGACAGGTCGCCTAAAAGAAATGACGAAAGAAGAGAATGCGTAATTTGTCGAGGAGCAAGGTGGCATAGGTTTTGTAACTAATCCTTCTATAGTGTTAGTGAAGAAAATTTTGCACAAATACAATATTCACAGCCACGAAAGATAGCACAAAACTTTCGTATCTGCAAGAAATTGTAAGTATCGCTTGCAGTAGGCTGATGCTTTGAGCAAGTGGACAGTGAGTCAATAGGACGACATAATATTCAGCGATGAATGCCGTTTTAGTTTGCAAAATGACTCTAAAACATTTAGAGTTTGGCGAACAACAGCAGTCTGAAAATCCCGAATTTTTTCAGCCAAGTTTTAAAAATGCTCTGTCAGGGATGTTCTGGGGGTGTGTTGGGCCCAACAGTGTCGGAAAACTGGTCGTTTGTAATGGCAATATCAATGGCAAAAAATATGTTTCTCTTCTCAAAAAGAACCTTCCAGACCCCGTTAAAATGATTAATGGTTGCAAAGCGAGACCTTGCATATTCCAGCAGGACAATGCTCTGCCCCACACTGCCAAAACAACCAAAAAGTTCTTTCCTTTGCATGATATTAATATCCTTCCCTGGCCTGCTCAAAGTTCTGACTTAAACATCATCGAAAATGTGAGGAGGCTTATGAAAATTAATCTCAATTCAGATGAAAGAGGTGGTCCGAAGACCAAAGATGAATTGATCAATCGAGTTCAGCTAATATGGAATCAACTTTCGCGAGGATACCTCTCCAAATTTTACGCCTCTATTCCTAGAAGACTCGCAGCAATAAAAACAATGCTTGGTTACTCAACAAAATATTAAAAAAAGACCTTTAAACAATAAGTTACGAAGTTAATAAACGAGTGTTATTGTTGTTTTCAAATAATATTCAATTTTGATTGATAGAACTTTCATTTCCGTTAGGAATGTGATTCCCTGCATTAACCCTAGCTCATTTGCATAATACTGTTTCCGGTACCCAGACTACCATGGCCATTTTGGAATAGGATGGTGCAATAATTTTGTGAGAAGACATATTATATTTGGTTGAAGGTGGTTTTCTCATTAATAATGATGATCTCATAAAGGAAATCGATGAGGTACCTGGAGATGAAGAAATTGCTTTTGGTTTTAAATGTAACGTCTGAGAAATGACCTGTAGATCTCGCCATGAACTAACCAGGCTTTTCAATTCAAAGCACAGAAAAGTATATGGTCGTCACACTGGTATGGCGTCAGGCTCTGCAGAAATTATGCCATCATCTTTACCCTTCCCTTTCTTTTCTTCAACTGATGAAATCAGTTGCCAAAAGTTTCATCCTCTTCAATTAAAAGCCATAGTTTTCAGGTGTGCAGTAAAAGTTACACTCCATCTTTCCGCCAAAAATTTGCATTCACTTTTACAAATGAATTACAATTATAATTATGCTATAGAACTATGGTCTAACTAACGTCCTCTCTTAAAACAAAACTAATTTGCAAAGGCATAGTTACTATAGTCAATTTGCAAAGACTATTACAAGAGTCCTCTGTCTTATCTTATTATAATGAAACCTGTTTCGATGTCATTCTTCAAATTGATAAAGATGTTTGCATGGATCTACTGGAGCACATGCTAACACTGTTTATAAGAGTCAGAACTTTTACATCTCTAAGAAATACCATCTCTATAAAGTTAAGTAGGGGAATAGTCTACTACAAACAGTAGATGCGTACTGATTCAAAAGCTAAATGATGCACAGAAGTATTTAATCAGTGGTTACTTTGGTTGTTATTGCTTTCTGATATCCCTACATGCAGCCAAAAGCCCTGTTTCCAGCACACTCCCATTTATTTGCTCCCCTCACATTTATTCCAATCCCACAAATTCCATGCTATGCTTTTTTGCTAATTCCATGACTTCTTGCTAAACTGACTAATTATGCCAACTAAATTCTCTATTTTCTAGATTCTAAATTCCAGGATTCTAAAGTTTCCAGTTCCACTCCAATTCCTACCCACAATAATTCCAAACCCTCCCACATATTCAACCCCACCTTGTTCACTACACCCTTTTCATTAAATGTTTCACAGTAAGGTAGAAAGCAAAGGGTCACGGATGCTAAGCAGTATGCGCATCTCCATATAAACCCCAAAAAACATGTTGTAACAGTTGCCATGATCTGAATTTATAACTGTTTCCAAAACCTGCAGTTGAGATTATCATGACAAAATATAACTAATTATTGTTAAACTAACTTTTTAATAAGAAAAGTAGTAAAATATGT